ATTCTCTAAAATCATATTGCAAGAATTGTATTTTTATTTAATCATTTGATCTGCAAATCAAAAACCAACACTAATTTTTTTTCATTCATGCAGCAAAAAAATGTACAGTTCATATCACACAGGGTAATTGGTTTATTCTGAAAGAAAACAATAAAAAAAGTATACAATGATGCACCCCTATTATTTCAATGTAAACTGATCGTTCAGAAATAAAAGTTGTTGATTTGGTTCCCTCATCTTACAGTAGAAATACATATAATGTTCCTGATTGGCTTTGTAATTTGCATCACATTAAGAGTTCATTGAGTGGCACAGACTGATTCATGGAGTGGAGTACCTGAATGTAAACAGTGCCCCAGCCATCTGGATGAGAAATTCACACTGACTGTACATACACGATCAGCACCAGATGATAGTACGTACAGCAGGAACAGGAACTGCTGTTTTGAGGCACTGTACCACTTGTTTATTAACGAACTGTTTTGTTTTAATGCAAGTATGCTCCCTATAGTTTGTCCTTTGAGGTTTCCTTTTGGTTGTCCAATGGTTCTTTCAGGTTACACACAACCTCCTCAGAAAGTTCTAAAGGGGGAAGATCATCCAATGAAATGTTCTGACTTGGCATTTCCAAAGGAGGAAGGTTGGGTATTGGAATGTCTTTCGCTTTTCCTGCGTTGGTAGCACTGTCGAACGGTTGACTGATGCACCACAAGTCTGATTTCACAAAGTCTGAATCCATGTCTAATTCCTTATCCAATGGCAATTTCTTAAGTCGCGCATTCTCTGCCTTTAGCAGCTTATTCTCCTTCTTTAGTCTCTCATTCTCAGCTATAAGTAGATCAACAAGTCTTTTCAGTTCGGAAATTTTCATCTCTTGCTCCTCTATCCTCGTCTTGTCGTCTTTAGGAGTTTTGTTCACTGCACAGGTCTTTGAAGGAACGTGTTTCTTGTGCAACAAAAAGAGAAGAGTATCCGGCTCCCGATCATAGGACTTCCGAATTTGCCGCAGATATTCCTCCTGGTTAAGGCTACTCATTTCTGCACTTGCGGGAAGAGTCTTCTGACCATCGGATTCATCGGTGAATGGTTTCAGTGGTAACGGGGGATCAGTTTCCCGGTCTGCTGCTTCTGGCTGTATCTGAGCTCTCAACTTCTCCTCTTTCTTAGTTCGCTTCCATCTTTCATGGATTAGACGCTGATGTTTGATATGACTGTCTCTCTGCAGCTCCAGTGATAACAAAGCCTGCATATTCAGAAGAAAGTAATTCATTAGTGGGGAAGCACAGTCTCTAAGTAATGAACATTTCAGCAATTATCAAAAAGAACACAATAACACTAATAAAAACGGTGTTGGAGAAGCTCAGCTGGTCTACAGAGGGAGAAACAGAGTCTAATGTAGAGTCTAATGTAGAGTCTAATGTAGAGTCTAATGTAGAGTCTAATGTAGAGTCTAATGTAGAGTCTAATGTAGAGTCTAATGTAGAGTCTACTGTAGAGTCTACTGTAGAGTCTACTGTAGAGTCTA